CCAAATTGAGCTTAATTTGGGCCAAAATTCAAAATAACGCCCTGTGTGTTATTTCACTGAAAAAATGTCAAGAAGGCAAATTTGCTTATATAAAACCTTCTTTAACACTAATCTAACAATAATTTAAAGTAATTCTAACCCTAAAGTTGGTTTAATAATAATCTACTTCGCTTTAGACATTCTTTAAGTATAACATACTATTAGTATGCAGCGTAGCACAAATAAGATACATGACTTTTACAACATATAATATATAGTGCAACAAATTTGTCCATATAAACTTTCCAACTAATGCAGTTTAAAGTCACAAAAAAAAATTTTTTTTATTGATATTAATGTGTAACTGAAAACAAAACTAAAGTTGATTTAAAATCAACTTATATCAGAAAATTTAATTCACACCCAAATTTTAATCTTAATAATTCCAAATCAATTTAGCTTCATTTTCACTTATATATATACATATGCAAACCTATTCAAGCAAACACGTATATATGATATTATGCAGATAAACACAGATATATAACAAATATACAAACACCACAAATGCAAATATATATGTAAGACAATCATGAATAAAGACAACACACATAAGACAACCAATATACAAGCATATAGCTCAATCACAATATATACAAAAAAATCCAACAAATTCTAGCATTGAATTATATGATTATACTTATGAACTAATCCTTAAGAACTAATCTTCAACATAGTATATACAAGCATTATAATCCGTTAGACTACAAGTACCACAGCGATGAAGCTTATCCTTAGGAGAATCCTTATCCTTATCAACTATAATGTATAAAATTCAAAGATTAGTATATATGTATTATCTACTCATGTTCAATGAATTCGAATTTTCATGAATATTACATTCTTCTTAAGCCAAATTCATCTGTTTGTATGAATTATCAGTGTTGCAAGTACGAGTATTATGGCCAGTTTGACCACATGCTCTACAACGCTAAGATTTACTTTTATAATTAAAATCCTTGTCAACTGCAATACATAACAGTTAGTATTAACAATATACAATTAAATTTGAATAACATAAATCTTAATTTACTATCTGTATTTGATAAAGACGAATCAACATTTTGATCATAATTTTCCTAACTTATATTGACCACCTAATCACTTGAGCTATCTGTATTACATGTATGAGCATTGTGCCCTACTAGACCACATATACCACATTGACAAAATGCTTTTTTTCAACTAGTAGAATTATCTATAAATACAATTAATATCAAATTTACTTAAAAAAAACAAAAGAGGAAAAAGCAAAGAGGTGTGACGACTTAGTGTAGTAGTCTAGTCATCACCCTTTCCAAGTGGCAGGTCTAGAGTTCAAATCCTATAGATGACAATATTTGGAAAATAGGCTTGTGTTCGGTTGATGGCTATGTTTATTGGTTAGATCTAATCTATAACTTCAGTCACACCATTTAGTAATGGGAGCAATGGCACAATAAATCTAAGGAACCAGCATAACTGAAAACCTATTTGGGAAGTCCTGAGCTAGGAATAATAGTGATTTTTGATGGTATCACAAGAGGGCTAAATTTGAACCAGGGCCTGAGATCGGAGAACTGAACAACTAGGTTCTAATGGCAAAGGACACACCAGCTAAACCGCCGGGTCTGTCACATCAGAAGAAAAGGACATACGCTCTGAAAGTATATACCAAGGGGAGGGCGTCCTTCAGGTATTTAAAGCCTGGGTAGACCAACCCTTCTGGGTTGCCGGCTAGAAGTAAGAGAAAGACCGATAAAGAATCCGGGTAAGAAGATAGTCTAATTGCGAGTACCAGGGTTGTTGTGAACTTAATAAGGGCAGAAGTAGGTAATTGCAGGGGTTCTATAATTAGCCCTGACCCCAAGTGCATGGGTCAAGCCGTGGTGTAGGTTGCTGAAGTCTAAATGGATATATGTGTGGGACATGTGATATTTAGCAAAATGAAAATATCCTATCATCTAATGATCTGGAAGTACCCAGAGTCGGGATAAGCAAACTTCATAGTATGTATTGACCAATGGTGCAATAAATAGGGGTTATGACAACTATACCGGGCTGAAAGGTTTGGTACGTCTTACTCAAAGTTGGTTTATGGAAATTCGAGAACTGTAACACCAAAGGGGAAGAACCTGAGATATCTGCGGTTGTTGATAACTAATTAGGAAGGTTATGGCTTGAGATACAAACTTGGTGATAGCAGTATAACTTGTACTAATAGGTTAGAGATTACAAATGATATACTGAATTTCTGTTGTAAAATAATGTGTTTGTATTATGCATCCACAATAATAAGTAATAAAGAGGCAGTGTCGTTAAAAAAAAAAAAAAAAAAAAAAAAAGCTTGTTCATACTTGCTATAGCCGTAATATCTTGCAATTCGCTTCTATACATGCTTGATATACTACTATAATTTATTTGACTTGTACTACCCACTTTAACCTTTTTATATACTGCTTGGTTTGTATTCTTTAGTTTTTGGCCTTTTGGATGAATACTGATAGGGTTGCTAATTGTAGCAGCAAATTGAATAGAATTATCCTCTAGAATATTGCAACTATCCTTGATTAAGAGTTGCATTTCCATTTTTTTCATTAACCTAAGATGTACTTCATAAAGCTCTTCATATCGTCTTGTTGCAATCACCAAATCAAGTGTCTTCTTCATAATACCAAATCCTTTGCCCCATTGTTGTTTAATTGCCATTTCTTTTTGAAACTTTTTTGTAAAAATATAGCTACCACGGATGTTATCAATATGAGTGAAATTAACACATATATCATATATAAATGATCTAAAATTCTCATTAAATATTGTTGAAATTGCAGGTTCGCTTGTAATATCTATTTTTTTCACTAACTACTTTATCCAAATACTATCGATGTGATATAAGCCCTATAGCAATCTTTAATATCAACATTATCACAAAAAAGTTCCAGCATACAATCCCACAATTGATTAACGTTAAACAAGTACAGAGATGTAGTGCTTTATCATATAATACCACAAAATGTTGGCTTTTTGTATTGATAGATGAAACTTTCCAGACCTTACAAATATGCATTTGATCCAGGTCGTTAATTAATTCTTTAAGTTCGATTATGAATGCATCATACATATTGTTAGAAAACATTCCAGTTAATATTTCATTAGATGTCTACAGTATAAAAAAAAAAAACTAATAAGCTTCAATCAAAATAAATTATTTTATTTACATAGATTAGTACAAATCAAGCTAAATTTCTAGACATTTTCTTATGTTATTAAATGAGAACTTGCTATAGCAAAGACTACACATAAGAACATAAAAAAAATTATACCTAACTTTGAAGTTCATATGCTAAATCAGCTAATTGTACTCGATAATAAACACTATAATTCATTTTATGCTGTTTAATTTTAAGAATTGCTACTGTTAGAAATTTCTAACATAATTTATTGACTGGCTTGAAATATCTACTATAATATTTTTCATTATAGATCCCAGATAATAAACCCACAACTTCATTAAATCATTGATATCTATCATTTTAATAAAGATGAGAAGCTGTTAACATGTTTTTTGACAATGCCTTTATATGATTTGACCCTCTGGGTAGTTTGTATACCAGCATTGAACAATCTATGTATGAAGCAAAGTACTCATACTTCACGACAAGGATAAAGTTGTCTTTCCAAGTATGATGCTAAATCTGGATACTTTTGTAGTAGATCTGCCCAGCATTTCTTAAATATTGACTCTATGCGACTGTTTTGTGTATAACAAAATTCATTAAAAAATTCACCCCACTTCTCACCTTTATACTTACTCAAAAAATGTTTCTCAAGATTTTTTTGAATATGAAAAAGACAGAAATGGTGCTTGGTATTTGGCAATATTACACTTACAACTACAACTATAGCACAGTCGGCATCTGTAAATAGTACCTTTGGTGCTAAACCACCTGTTGCTTTGAGTATATTTTCTAAAAGTGTCTTTTGTTTCATCTGATATGACTGCAATTGCAACTAGACATGAACAATTGTGATTATCAATAACTATCAATATACAAAGCATCATTGAGTAGCGATTGGTTTTGAAGGTAGTATCCATGAAAACAACGTCATAAAATCTGCTCCACAGTTGTATTTGACTTGGTCTCATCCACATAAGACCAACTAAATGATTGTTTGGCGCTTCGAACTTTGCATCTACATAATAGCCGGGTTTATCTTGTTGCTTTTTAATCAATTCCAGGTATTTACTACTTGCATCACCAACAACACGCTTCTCATAATGGATCGTTTGTATTATATTGTATACATTACGAGCATAAATATGCTTTCCAGAATGCTTTTGTTGTAAAATCTCAATAATCGAACCGGCTCTTACTCTACAAGATGCAAGTAACCTAATATCATCTTGCATTTCTTTTGTCAATCTCCTGTATCTTGATTCAACCATTGTAATATCCTTAACCATTTCATGGTTATGTGTACCAATGATATTTGAAATGTGAATTTTGTTATCATTTTTCTATCTATATATGTTGGTATAAAAAGAGCAACCACTTGATTTGTGTTCTCGATCTCTTTTATCAAGAGTATATACTTCTTTATGTAGAGCATATGACTGTCTTTTGGTACACGTATATACATAACATCTAGGTTCCTTGTTAACCTTACCAATTTCACTATGGGTTATGCAAAAAGCAAAGCCCTTTTTCTAACTATGATGTTCTAACCACCTAAAAGTGAACCATTAAATTTCACAGTAAGTAAAGAAAAAAAATAAATAAATAAAACAACTCTTCATATACTTTTACAGTAAAGAAAAAAAAAAAACTAAATAAATAACTCTTCTTCATATACTTTTGCAGTATGTAAAGAAAAAAAAAATAAATAAAACAACTCTTCTTCACATACTTTTGCAAGTATGTAAAGAAAAAAATAAATAAATAAAACAACTCTTCTTCATATACTTACTTATCAACAGCTTTTCAAGTATCAAAGGTTTGATTTAAAGTCAGAGAATATTTAGGTTTTTCATTTGAACTTTCGTCTTCTGAATCTGTTAGAATTTCTTCAACTACATTCTCTTCATTGTATTGCTTGCTGAAAGTACTTTCCCAACCTTCGAATGTCTGATTTATAGCTAAGGAATATTTAAGTTCTGTATCTTCACCTTCATCTTCCGAATTCATTGGAATTTCAATTATCTTCTCTCTATTGTGTTGCTTATTGAGATCGTCAAAAAAACTTTCTGAAGTCCCTTGCTTGTCAAAGATAGGGTATATGTCTATAAAACTACTATAAGCATTGTTAGTGCTAAAAGGAAAAGTTAAATTGTTCATTTTCAACAAAAGTAATAGTAGTAGTTCAACAACACAATAATGGTAAAACAAGAAAATCAAGTGAAACTAAATTGTTAAATGACAAGTGATGTGTATTATATGTCATTATACAAATAACGCGCAAATCTGTACTATAATATAAATAAATACAGTAAGGTATATAAAATAATTAGACCTGCGGGTCGATAGCATAGCGGTTATACTCCCAGGTTGCAAATCGGACGGTTGCCAGTTCAATTCCTTCCAGCGGTGAAATAATGAAAACCCAAATATGGAAGTAAAACACCGCGGGGTACAGGGAACTCGGGATATCTATGGATAAACGTATTCAGAAAATAGTTATTCTGAGAAGTTGTGGCTGTAAAGCGAGGCGTGTTAGAACCCTGATTTGGAATAACCAAAGTCATGAGACGTACTGTGAGGCCAAAGTCTGAGAAGATACTACAAGAACTCGTGGCGCCA